CTGTCTAACCTATCAACATGGTTTTCTTAGTTGCTATTGCATGCATGCCTTGCTTTTAGTAGAGAATTGTCTCTAGACATAAGTTCATGTGGAGTTTGCAAAGTGGTCTGTATCCAATCTTCCCCTACTTCTGCCACTTCTCAAATAATGTACGATCCCTTTTTGGCTAAACCCTTGAGGCTCAGTTCACAGACAACTTGAATACACGTAAAGTAGCTTGAAACTGTTTTTCTGTATTCATATGTTTATATAATTTTATTCGCTTGTCTTTTAGATTTAAAGTCATTTCACCTTTGTCTTGTGGTTCATGTTTTCTTTTGTTTTTAACTTCATTGTGATTTGTCAAGGTTAAGTATCTTTTCCTGGTACCTGAATTTTTAACTTTAGTAAACCTAGATGCAGTTTCTCTTCAAAACCAGAAGGTGGCAGTGTTTTCTGGGTGCCACTACTAGCAAGTCCAAGGCCTGAAAGTACACCCATAATAGGATCTTGCTCATGAAATCATTGCAGAAAATTGAAACTGCCTCAGTTTCAGTGAAACATTTTAATAGAAAGTTACAAATTTGACATTTTCTGGGGTTATGACACATGCAGGCCTGAACTTCTCTTTTTATCAGAAGAAACTAGTTAACAAAACCGCACAGCCGCCACCATATAAATGGCCCAGCTTCACTGCTCCGTAACTTATCTCAGAAGAGAAGCCAAGCTGATGAAACTCCCAGGTACAGCGGTCTTCAGGCTGAGAATCCTGGGGTTCCTAGAGAGAGGGGCAGGGGGTTCCAAGAATTGTTCCAGTTCTAAAGATCCTAGAGCTTCTGAAACATGTGGCTTTGTATGCAGCCACATGACACTTCCAAATTCCACAATACTGACAGTTTAATAGGAGCACAACAAATTATACGGGAAAGTAGCATAGAGCCCACTAAGCTGTATAAGTGAAAATAAGAACACAAAGTGTTTAGCTGGCAACAAGCAGCTCAGTAAATTCTCAGTGACTTCAGTAACACCATTGTGAGATACAACAATTTTCACATTTTTTTAACTTAGCTATTTTTTTTTTTATAATCCCACTTACCTTTTTGTGGTAACAAGCTATATAAAATAAATTATTTTATTCCTGTCAAGGGAGCTAGCTTGGGGTGAGGGTGTGAGAAATTGGGAATAGTGGTGGTGGAGGTAAGATAACTCTAGTGGGGGTTTGGTGCTAGAACATTGAGTGTCCAAGACAACTGTATTATGAGCAATTTTGTAAGCCATGGTGTTTAAATAAAGTTAAAAATTTTTTTTAAAAATTTAAATTTTCTAACATAAATCTAGGAAAAAAGCATGAGAATCCTAAAATACTAGTTTAGAGATTTCCTTTGCAAGGAAAGGGAATGAGACATTTGGTTTGGGAAAAATGCTTGTAGGGCATCAACTATAATGCTTATTTGTAAAGTTGTTATTGATATTTAGGTATTATTCTTTTTGTCCTTTTGTTTGTTATAAATAATGCTCTCTTGTTAGCACTATGACTTTAAATGTCACTTTCAGAAACTACAATTTTTGTGGAATTTTTAAATACATTCCTCTTGGAACTTTACAGACCAATGGAAACATTGTAGATGAATCACTATGGAACATAATAAAGTAGACTACATGTGCATTTTCACAGATATTGCCCTAAGGAACTTGTGTGTATGGAGGGTGACAGGTCTTGGATTTATATGAAGTAGATGACATTGGAAATAAAATTTCAAGTTTGGTAACAAGTTTTAAAATATGGTTTGGAATTCTAGATATATGACAACTTTAATATATAAATGGAGATCAGAATATTCGGTTTTCTAACACCCTTCAATAAAATATTGATGGATTTACTTGAATGGTATTGAGCCATGTGATTAGAGACCTTTAAAATACATTCTAATCTCAGAATTAAGTTGGAGAATAGATCATCAAGATATTTAACCATGGATACTATAATAGTTATGTACAATTTGAAATATTTCTTCATACATAGTTTTCACTTACATATTGCTTTTTGTGGGCTGGAGCGATAGCACAGCGGTAGGGCATCTGCCTTACAAGCGGCCAACATGGTTGACCCGAGTTCGATTCCTCTGCCCCTCTTGGAGAGCCCAGCAAGCTACCGAGAGTATATCACCCGCACGGCAGAGCCTGGCAAGCTACCCGTGACGTATTCGATATGCCAAACACAGTAACAGCAAGTCTCATGATGGAGACGTTATTGGGCCCGCTCTAGCAAATCGATGAACAACGGGAGTACCGTGAACAATTGCTTTTTGTAGCTTATTCTCACTAATGTATATTATTTTATCATAAGTTTGTATGTATATAAGAAAATTCTAAAACTTGAGGGACTCGAGAAGATACCACTCTCACATTCAAGAAATCTGAAGTTAGGAAGTACAGGGATAAGGAATTTCCATGTGTTAGGTTCTCGGGCTTCTTCTGTCTTACAGTTCTACCACCCTTATCTCTTCATAGTCTCCTGATCTTGATTAGCTCCTAAAACTTCATCTCTCCCCCAGACTCCCAGCAAGAGTCAAAGAAGAGCATAGACCACAGGTTGTGCTCTTCTAGCTTAGGTTGTTCCCTGTAAGATGACTTCCAGAAAGTACGAATCTATTTCATTTCACACTTCACTAACCAGAACAGAATCATGTGATCTATATCTGTTGCCATGGAGATTGAAAAGTTTGGTACACTGGCCTCCTGCTTTCCACTGGTTCAGTTATTCAAAGTAATCTGAAGTTTTAAGAGCTAAATACAATAATTTTAAGCAACCATATTCACATAACTTATTCCAAAATATTGTTGTGCTTTTTCTTTTATTGTTGTTTCTCTCTTTACTGTGCCTATTTAAGTCTACATACGTAAGGGAAAAACAGTATAGATTGGGTTTGATCACATCCTGTGGTTTCTGGCATTCTCTGGGTGGAAGGAGGACCGGACCGTATCTTGGGATGTGTCCCTGGGGTTAGGAGAGGCCTCTTAAGCAGTGCCTTATTGTGTGGTTCTTTGTGAAGGAAGGGTGGAATGGATATGGGGTAAGTATCCAGGAGCCTGTACTGCCCAGTCACTTCACAGACATTTTCAAGAAAATAATAGAAAACTTTGTCAATGTCCAGATAGCTGAATATCTGGATTAGAGTCATTATAGTCTGGGTTAGAATCATCATAGTAATTACTAAGAAATTTCTTGTTGCCTGTTCGGTTAAACTTGATCTATAATAACTGTCATTTTTGTTATTTCCCAGGTATATGTGCTAATTTTCATGTTTTCTATCATTCCCACACACTGTGATAGACAGAATTCTATCTTAATATTGAGAAATTTGAAGCACAAATAGATTACTTGGCAATCCTAAATTCTAATAACTGGAAAGAGGTGACTCAGACATCAAATCTGTAGCTTAAACTGTCTCTGACCTCTGCTTATTAATCCAGCTGCTGATACATCCATAGGGTCCACTGTTCTGCCTGCCCACCCATGGTACAGAAAGACCATTTGACGTTGCTCAAGCACTTATGAGCAGAAAAAAATGAATAAAGTTGAGATACATTTGATACACAGAATTAAATAAGGTATTTTGGAGTTTTGGTCAGACTTACTGTATTCTACTCTTGGTATCTTCATTGTTTTAGTCATGTAATAATTTCACTAATCCTAAAAAGAGTACTAATTTTTCATATTTTTTAAAAATTGGCTGAAGCGATAGCACATCGGTAGGGTGTGTGCCTTGTGCACTGCTGGCCCTACTGACTGGGTTCGATTCCTCCACCCCTCTCTGAGAGACTGGCAAGCTACCCATGACATATTCAATATGCCAAGTACAATAACAAGAAGTCTCAAAATGGAGACGTTACTGGGCCCGCTTGATCAAATCGATGAACAGTGGGAGGACAGTGTTTTGACGGTGTTTGTGGATACCCAAATATTTGTAGCTGATTATAGGTCATGTGTAGTAAGTATTAGGAATTGCTTTTGTTTGTAGGAATGATTTTATTCATTGTTTTGAAAATTGCATGCCATGTAACATATTTTTAAAAGTGGTATTATACTATATTAGAGATCGTCTCTACATAAGCTAGTTTGTGACCAAAAGATTTTACCTTATTCCTTACTTCCTCCAATAACCTTAGTATATAGCATATAGAAGGTGGTGGGTAAAATGAATAATGAATGAATGTGTAGTGAAGAAGAAAATTGTTAGTGTTGTAATTATATTTCTGCTTTCAATTTAAATAGAGCACTTGAAATCAAAACAACTCAACCTTTTTATAACCTGGCAAGTTTTGTGAAGTGGGATATATTAGCACTTATCAGGGCTGACCTTTGGGACCACAGAGTCCAACCATTGAATATGGTGTGTCTGAAGAGTTGTCATGACTGTAATTGGAATATAGTGGTTATAAAGGCAAGAGGGAGATAATTTTGGCAAGCCCCTGCTATGTAAACATTGTGTAATAATTTAATTTATTTTTAATACATTTTTTTCAAGATTTTTTATTGAATCACTATGAGATAGACCCTTAAAGGCTGTTTATGGTTAGGTTTCAGTGATACAGTGATCCAACACCCATCCCTCCACCATTGTACATTTCCTAGCACCATTGTCCCCAGATTCTCTCCCATGACCTCTCACCCCATCCCCAGCCTGCCTCAATGGCAGACTCTTGTCTTTCTCCTCTCTATTTCTCACTCTCTCCCTTTTTTTTCTTTCTCCTTTAGGGCATCGTGGTTTGCAATTATGTAAAAATTTTATGGACGGCAGTTTAGGTATAGATCTTCAAGGATTTTTTATAGGGATATTACCTTTTAAAAATATTCTTAGTAGACAAAAGAATGGACTTGATTTGATCTGAGTAGTTTCTGAAAATAATGTAGATTTATTTTGCATTTTGATTTTTAGGATTATCTGTGAAATTTTTAGGATTGCCTGTGAAAAATGAATTAACACACTAACATTACTTTGTTTCATTTTATTTCTCAGGATGTGATCTTCGTGGTGGGAAGCTAAGTTTTTAAACTACCCCAATGGATGCAGACAGCGATGTTGCATTGGACATTCTAATTACAAATGTAGTCTGTGTTTTTAGAACAAGATGCCATTTGAACTTAAGGAAGATTGCTTTGGAGGGAGCAAATGTAATTTATAAGCGTGATGTTGGAGTAAGTATCAAAATTTTGGTATGTATGCTAATATAGCCTAATTTATAAAATATGATATTAAATATTCATTCTATAGATTGTTTTAGTACCTTACCATTCTAGTTGTACTATAAGACTATAGAAATGACCTCTCCTTTTAAGAATTAGCAACTTTTGGGACTGGAGTGATAGCACAGCGGGTAGGGCATTTGTCTTGCATGCAGCCAACCCAGGTTCGATTCCCAGCATTCCATATGGTTGCCAGGAGTAATTCCTGTGTGCATGAACTAGGAGTAACCCCTGTGCATCGCTGGGTGTGACCCAAAAAAAAAAACGAACTAGCAACTTTTAGAAATAGATACCTTTCTGCACATCGTACTGAAAAATGCACTAGCTGCACAGTGGTAGGGTGTTTGCCTTCCGCACAGCTGACCTGACTGCGCCAGATTTGATTCCTCCACCCCTCTTGGAGAGCCCAGCAAGCTACCCACAGTTTCTCGCCCGCACGGCAAAGCCTGGCAAACTACCTGTGATGTATTCAGTATGCCAAACACAGTTACAACAAGTCTCACGATGGAGACGTTACTGGGCCCGTTCTAGCAAATTGATGAACAACAGGAGGACAGTACTACTGAATTTTCATTAGTTCCACAGCTTATTTGAACTGCATAGGGGATGTTTATGTACTTTGTGTATATTTACTGAAGTACGACTGTACTTGAATGATACACTATTACCCCCATGTATAAATATAAATGTATAGATATAGATACACACACATATACATATAGAAATTTGTATAGAATGTTATCATAACCTTCTGAAATTAACTGACAATAGGTTTTATTCCCATTTTAGGGGTGGGAAGAGGCTCCGCAGCTGAGCTTTAAGTGTCACTCCTAATGACACTTGTACAGGTTCACCAGTTCAGTGCTGAGGCTCAGTGATACCATGCTGCTTGGGTCTCTCTGGGGGCCACCACAGTGACCCTGGCTTTGCTGAGGTGGGGGGGTGGGGGGCGGGACACATAGTACCGGGAATTGAACTTAGGGACTCATGAATGCATGCATGCAGGCTCTCCAGCACCTTGAGCTATTTCCCTAGCTCCACAGTTGGTATTCTTTATTAGCAAAGGGTTGTAAATAGTCCTAAACTGGACATTTTTGGTGTGGGGTACATCCAGCCAGTGTTCTGGGCTTACTCTTAGCTTTACAATTAGGAATCACTCTTGGTGACTATATGAGGTGCCAGGGATAGAACCCAAGTTGGCCGTATATGAGTCGGGCGTTCTACACACTGTACTATCTCCAGCCCTCACCTGGACAATCTAAATTTTAGTTTTTATTAAACCTATAATATTCCAAAGTCAATAGCTTGCTAATGTTTTGAGATTTAAATGAATTTCAATGGCTGTTCATTTGGTTTTCTCAAGAATGGTAATACATATGTATTGTGTATAATACGTTTATTATGAAAGTTTAGAATGTATATGAAAACTTGAAGATGTTCCTTTTTAATGATCACCACCAGCAGTGCTCAATTACCAACAATGCTTTGGCCGCCAGAGCTATATTAGTGGTACTTGGAGGGACAGAGAGGGGAGGGGCTTGTAATGCCAGAGATTGAACTCTGGCTATGTATGTGTCCTTGTATATGCTCCATGTATACTCTGTCACTGGATCTGTTTTTGTAGTAGGGTTTTTTAAACTTGTAGCTTAACTATCAAAATTAGGTACAGTATCTGTACTTCTTAATACCATGAACTAAGATGAGTTAAATTAGATGACAAAATTTTGTGATCTACAATTAGGGATTCTCAAATTCATCAGTAATGTTTTATTTTTTTACTTAAAAGGAAAAAACTACTGAGAAGTTCAGAGAGACAGAGTGCCTAAGATGGCTTTGAAAACAGTCTTTGCATGTAGTAAAGAATAAAGGCTAAATTGATGGACAAGCTGGTAATGAGTTATTATTAAGTAGAGTAAACTTTGTCCAGTGTTTCTCCATTATATCTGTGAAATGTCTTAACTGAGATTTAATTAAGATTTTTGGTAAATTGTCTAGTACCAGATTTAATAACTTTCTAGTTTTGACAATGTGGAATATGATAGCAAGAAGAAATTCAAAATATAACAAAAATTTTAGAGAAAAATTACTGGTTTATGTTTTATTTTATTCTTTACACTTGGTGGATGGACTTATTTTCATAAATAAAAGTTGCAAGGAAAATTTAAATTCATACATGTATTATCTTGAGTCTTAGTCCTTAACTTATTTGTGTTAACTTTATGGATAAATTTATGCAAGTAGTTTTAAATTCTTTTCATATCTAAGAAATGAGGATATAATATTACATTTTTTAGCTCCTGCATGTCTCTTACACTCAAGATACTGAACTTGAATATGTAATAGGCATCTCAACAAGATACAGTAAAAAGTAATAATGAATACTATGAAGTAGAATTAAAGTATAATCAAAAGTTTAAAACAATGTAAGGGGGTGGTGTTTTAGTAGGATAATCAAGAAAGACCTGTTTATTGAGGTGCTGTCAGATGAGACCTGCAAGAGTGAAAATAATGAAGGAGTGTTGTAAATAAATAAATGTAACAGGTATTACAGAGCTTTCAAAAGCATGAAGTTTGGCTTGTTTGAAGATCCATGAATATTGCAAATTTTAGCTATGTGACCCAAGTGGAATGAGAGTTGAAAAGTTCATATACTTAGAGTACAATTTCCTCCAGACAGTGATTTTATATATGTCTTTTTGGAATAGTTTCTTTGTGTTTTATATAGAACATTATTTTTAAATGGGTGATTTGGAGGATAGTTATTTTAGTCTTGGGTGATCTTTGAAAAGTATTTAAGCATTAAACTGGCCACATAGAACAAAACCATATGTGGAGTGTTTATGTAATCAGGGTTTTCGTTTATATTTTGCAGAAAGTATTAATGAAGCTTAGAAAACCTAGAATTACAGCTACAATTTGGTCCTCAGGAAAAATTATTTGCACTGGAGCAACAAGGTAAATGTTATATGAGATTTTTATTTTTAATTTTAAAAAATTCCTCTTATAATGGTATTTTCCCAGACTTAAATTATATGTAGACTTTTGCAAATTTCCTTAGTTTAAAATTTATTTCCTGTGAAACTGATCTTTTTTTTTCTTTCCTTAAAACTGTAGTGAAGAAGAAGCTAAATTTGGTGCCAGACGTTTAGCCCGCAGTCTGCAAAAGCTAGGTTTCCAGGTAACATTTTCAAAAATTACCTAGACTGCCAGTATATAAAGATTTATTTTGTAAAGTTAAACTGTCTTATTAAAAGTCTATAAAAATCATCATAACAACTTTTTTTTTGGAACGGCCTTTATTTTAGAGGGTTTATTTCTTTGTTTTTGGGTATTGTTCTTCAGCTCCAAAGTACAGTAGTAAAACCTTTCCTATAGAGCACATCATTTCCCATAGGGAGGCTTGTTTCCTCACATGTTAACAGCCGTTTCAGTTCTTTATGTTCTTTCCCTTATCATTTAAAAAAAAGAAAAACAAGTTCTTTTGATCATCTCAAGGGGGCATGTTGGGCTCATGAGGGCAGAAACCCGCAGGGCTCTGTTGACTGCGCACAGTAGAGTGGTGACCAGGAGGCTCTCACCCCTGTGAGTCATCTTCCCTACCAGGCTAACGGGATCCCATCTGATTATGCAGAGACATAAATTTAATACACATTGTATACTCTGTAGGCACTTGAGAAATAATGAATAAATGAAAGATAAAGACGAGTTGTGGTCCCAAGAGAGGCGGGCCCAGGCTTTATGGAATGTGGTTGGGAAGTCGAGTGTCTTGTCTGTCTGATGATGTCTGAGGATGAGGTGTGAGTGCAGGAAGCACTGAAGAGCAGGACTCAAGAGGGCAAAGTGTCACTACTGGAAGAGGATGGCAAGGTCAGGGAGTGGCTGGCAGTAAGGGGACCCGAACTTGCTGTTAGAGCCACTTCTACAGTTGTGCAACTGACTCTACGAGCTTTGTGCAATTCTAAGTTGAAAGATCATCCAGAGTAGTGATCTCATTAAAGTTTTGGAAGCGAATGAGATAAAACCACTGGCAGAAGTAGTGGAATTTATCAATTTTAAACAATAGTATTGTCTAATCAAACAATATTATAAAAAACATTGTTTTTAGTGTGGACGCTTCTTGGCATAACAATAGAAAGGGCTTTGGTCATATTTTGAGGTTTTAGGGTTTTTTTTTGTTTCTGTGTTTTGTTTTTTAGGGTAATGTGGGGGTAGGATTATTAGTATGTTTTGGGATTTGGGACCACACTCGGCAGTGCTAAGGGCTTATTCCTGGCTCTGCACTCAGAGATCACTCCTGGAAGTGCTCAAGAGGCCAAATGTGGTACTGGGACTCGATCCTAGATCAGTCACATGCACGCAAGCACTCTATCATCTGTACTCTCTCGAGCCCCAAAATGAGATATGTTGAGAGAAACACCAATTAGTTAAAAAGTTTTGCTTCCTAGGAATGATAGACCCTTACTGCGTCACCCCACCCCACCCCTACCGCCCAAAAAAAACCTCTGATTAAATTCACAAAAATGTTATTTTACTTCATTGCACCTAAGAAAAAGCTTCCTTGGAGCTACCTGTTCACTTCTTTTTTTTTTTCTTTTTGGGTCACACCCGTCGATGCTCAGGGGTTACTCCTGGCTCATGCACTCAGGAATTGCTCCTGGCGGTGCTTGGGGGACCATATGGGATGCTGGGAATCGAACTTGTGTCAGCCATGTTGGCTGCGTGCAAGGCAGACGCCTTACCCACTGTGCTATCACTCCAGCCCCACTGTTTACTTCTTTTAAGTGATAAATTTCATAATTTTTTACTTGAGGACAAGTGAGGAATACTCTGCTTTAATTTTCTTCCTCACTAGTCTCTCTCCAGTCCCTATAATTTCAACATCCACGCAAAGTCTTAAAAAAAAGGCAAGAACTGAAAGACTCCAAATATACTGTTGTAATCAGACAATTTCTCAGATTTCAGGGTTTGTGTGTGTGTGTAGGGAAGAAGAGTCCCAAGGCCCACTCCCAGCAGTTCTTGGCCAATTGACCCAGTGGTTCAGTGCATCAGTGCGGTACCTCTGGAGCCCTTCAGTACAAGAGATTACCTGGGCCACCCTGACAGTGCTCATGGGCCTTCAGGGTTGCACCAGTGATGTGCAAGATCAAATTAGTGCTGCCTCATATAAGACAAGCACCATAATCCCTATACTCTCTCTTCAGTATCTAAGGTTTTACTTTTAGATGACATTGTTTTAGCTTTTCCCTCTTAATTATGATAGTAAGTCATTTCTGATAATTTTAACTTTTTAAATCCATGTCTTAAGATTGAAATTAATTATTAATGATTGCCCTGATGAATAGGATTTTTTTTTTCTAAAGTAACTTACTGAGCTTTATTTCTTTCCTAAAGGTAATCTTTACAGATTTTAAAGTTGTAAATGTTTTGGCAGTGTGTAACATGCCATTTGAAATCCGTTTGCCGGAATTCACAAAAAACAATAGACCTCATGCCAGGTAGGTTTTTGAAGAATAACTTGAAATTTGAAATGACTTATCAGGTTACATGTATTTTTGTTAATTGCGGCTTTTTTTTTATAGTTATGAACCTGAACTTCACCCTGCTGTGTGCTATCGAATAAAATCTCTAAGAGCAACATTACAGATTTTTTCAACAGGAAGTATCACAGTAACAGGTATTTTACGGTATTAAAAACCAGGCTTTCCAGTTATGGGTAGATAAGGGAAGTTCATACAAAAATAGAAATAATATTGATTTGTCTTGTTTAGTTACTTCCACTTTTTACGGAGATCACTCTATCTAATTTAACACTATGCATTAGTTTTACTGCTTCCTTTTATACTATTTGAAAATCTTGTATATTCTTAGGAGGCCTGGAGGCCACTTCAGGTGATACTTGGCCTGCCTTTTGTGAGGTGCCTAGACCAGTGGTGCTCAATAGTTACCTAGAGTCATACCCAGCAGTCCTCGGGGGGCTATGTGGTACTGGCGATTGAACAAGGAGCCTCTCTTAAGCCCAGCCTGCACTCTAGCACTGAGCTCCCTTCCCTGTGTTCACTCATTGTTTTCATGTAGTTTATTTGTACTGCTGTTTATTATAAACGGTAGATTCTCATTGTGTTGTGGTAGACAGTGTTTGAACATACTATTTGGATAACCAGTTTGCTGTAATTAAGAGTATTCTAGTACTTTTTTTTTTTAAGGAGCGGGTAGGGCACCTGCCTTGACACAGCTGATCTAGGTTTGATCCCCAACAACACATCTAATTTAACCATCTAATTTAACACCATACATCAGTTTTACTGCTTTTTGTACTATTTGAAAATCTTGGCCCAAAAACAAAATAATGAATACTCTAGTATATAGTTTCACTCTCTGATTTTTTAAAAATTTATGATATCTTGCATTTAAAATACTTGAGAATGCACTTTATTAACTTCAGAGGTATTTCTTAGCAAAGTACTTAAACAAGATTGGCTTAATTTTGTTTTTGAGTTGGGGCCACACACAGCTTTGTTCAGGAATAATGGCTCTGCACTCAGGAATTACACCTAGTGAGCTTGGGGGAGACCATATGGGGTGACAGAGATCAAACCCGGGTCGACCTTGTGCAAGGCAAGCATCCTACCCGCTGTATTATATCTGGGACCCCCACATTGGTGTTATGTTTTATGTGATTTTGTTATAATTTTCGAGTCTGTTAAGTATTTGGAGAGGGTGGCTTCCAAAGTTGAGGATAGACAGCAGAGGAGAGCCTCAGAGTGCAGAAAGTCACTGTAGTTATAAATTATATAGGGGCCAGAGAGATAGTATAGGGGGTAAGACACTTTGCCTTTCATGTGGCCAACCTCAGTTTAAAAACTGACACACAAAAGAGGACATGAAAGAAACAGTGGATCTCACAATCAAGAAAATACAGGGAGAAATGAAAGCAGAAATTGGAAAGCTATGCACAAAAATGTCATGAATGAAAGATTCCATAGATGAAATAAAAAACTCAGTCTGTGCCCTCAACAGTAGAATGACCACAGCTGAAGACAGAATCAGTGAGCTTGAAGATCACCTGCACCAAGCCAACAGGCAACAACAAACAATGGCAAGAGACCTCAAAATAGCTCGAGAGCGAATCAGAGTCCTAGGAGATGATTCCAAGAGGAACAACATTAGAATCATAGGAGTACCAGAAGCTCAGGGAAACAATCTCAATGAAAAAGCCACTGTTAAACAAATCATTGCTGAAAAAATTCCTAGAGCTCGACAATACAGCCATTCAGATTCAAGGAGCCCAAAGGGTGCCAGCTAAAAGAGACCTTAACAAAAACACTCCAAGACATATCATAGTTAGAATGATGGATGCCGCAGATAGAGACACAATATTGCAAGCAGCAAGGTCAAAGAAGGAAATCACATACAAAGGAGCACCCCTTAGATTCACAGCAACCTATCAGAGAAAACCCTTCAAGCCTAAAGGCAATGACGGGATATAATGAAAAAGCTCACTGAAATGAATGCTTCACCAAGAATACTCTATCTGGCTAAACTCTCACCCAAACTCAAAGGAACGGTACACTATTTTCTAGATAAACAGCAGCTCAGGAACTTCGTAGACTCAAAACCAAACCTAAAACAAGGGCTAAAGGGGCCCTATAAGATAAGACAAACCCTACAAGCACAACACACCCTTACAGAAAGATGACACAAAACCCCATAACAATAATCTCTTTCAATGTCAACGGTCTAAATTCACCAATTAAGAGACACAGAGTGGCAAAATGGATTCAGAGACAGAACCCAACATTCTGCTGCCTACAAGAAACTCATCTCAACAATCAGAGCAAACACAGACTCAAAGTTAAAGGGTGGAAAACAATCCTGCAAGGAAACAGCTCCCTCAAAAAAGCTGGGGTGGCTCACATCAGTTTCAAGTTGAAAAAGATTAGAAGGGACAGCGAAGACTATTTTCTGTTTATCAAGGGATGTGTACAACAGGAAGAAATCACACTCTTAAATGTATACACACCTAATGAGGGAACAGCTAAATATTTAAAACAGCTGCTAACGGATTTTAAGGAGGACATTGCTAGCAACACAATAGTAGCTGGAGACATCAACATCACCTTATCACCTCTGGATAGATCAACAAGAACAAAACTCAACAAGGAAACATTGGCTTTGAAAGAAGAAATAGAAGAGAGAGGGCTTATAGACCTATACAGGGCTTTACACCCCAAAAAGAAAGAGTACACATTTTTCTCCAGTGCCCATGGAATATTTTCCAAAATAGACCATGTGCTAAGACACAAAACATACCTCAATAGAATCAGGAAGATAGAAATAGTATCAACATTCTTTTCAGACCACGATGCACTGAGAATAGAAATGAATCACACACAGACATGGAGAACCAAGTCAAACACCTGGAAATTACACAATGGAGTACTATGTAGCTGTTAGAAAAGATGAAGTCATGAAATTTATATACAGGTGGTACCACATAGAAAGTATCTTTCTAAGTGAAATAAGTCAGAAAGAAAGGGACAGACATAGAAAGATTGCATTCATCTGGGGAACATAAAGTAACAAAATAGGAGACTAACACTCAAGAATAGCCAAGATAAGTACCAGAAATTTTACTTCATGGCTTGGAGGCTAGCTGCACATGCTAGGGGGGAAAGCAGCTCAGATAGAGAAGGGAGCATCAAATAAAGGGTGTTGGGAGGATCCTCCCAGGATGGGAGATCCATGCTGAGAATGGACTGTGGACCAAATATGATTGCCACTCTATGCCTCTGTTGCAAACCACAGCACCCAAAAGGAGAGAGAGAAAACAAAAGGAAATGCCCTGCCAAAGAGGCAGGGTGGGATGGGGGGATGAGGGGTGGGAGAGATACTGGAATCAGTAGTGGTGGAGAATGGGCACTGGTGGAGGGATGGGTGTTTGATCATTGTATAACTGAAACCCAAGCTCAAAAATTTGTAAGTCTACAACTGTACCTCACTGTGTTTCACTAATAAAAATTGAAAAAAAAAACTGACACACAATATGGATACCACAAGCACTGACAGGGTTCACTCAAGTACAGAGCCAGGAATAAACCCTGAGCACTGCTGGGTATTATCTAAACCCCTCCCTGACAAAAATAAATAAATCACACAGAAATGTAAAGCCCAAAAGTAGGCAACATTGAGTTCAGAAAAGTTCTTTAGCATCCTTAAATTTTTCATTTCATTTCTTTAATCCTTACGTGGAAATTAAAGTTGTTGATATCTTTAGACCCTCAGCAAATAAGTTTGAATCGTGACTCATCCTATGCTGAGGGGAGGTATATCCTTAGAGACGTTTAAAGCCTGAGTCATGCCTGAATCTTAAAAACGAAGTGATAGAAACAAGTCTTATTTCTTCTTTTCACTGTCTGCTTCTACATTATGGAGCCCAGACTTCTGAACGTTTCCAAAGTCTATTGATAAGTTTCTATTAAATAGAAAATACACCAGTACACACACACACACACACATATGTAAAATTTATATTTATCAGTTAACAGATAATTGGTTTGGCTGATTAGTATGCATTAAGTATGCATTATTATATATGTACTGCTGGACTGTCCTGTGAAGTGTTAGCTGTTCATACTGAGTGGTTCCCTTGGGCAAAGCATGGTACAATGTGGAGCGAGTAAAGAAAAGAGAAGACAGTATATCTCAAAGGTCACTATCCTTAATGAGTGCATGGTGGGTGTATGTATATTTTTTGGCCTCTTTCAGAAAATATAAAGGTACATTAAAGAAGCCATTTTATTATCAAAATAGTTAGCATTTTCTTTCTTTTTTTTTTTAAAGCATTCCTAGCTTTATATGGGTTGATGAAATTGTAGTGTCTCCCCATTCTTTTGTGCTTGTTTTGGGAGGAGGGGGAATTGCTTTCCATTTTTGTCTGTTGACTGAATAAGCTGCCGGGGTGAAAGGACCTGAATAATGGATTACTGGGGAACATATAAGTACCAGGTGGTCTGTGAGGATGCTTAGTGGAAGCTGTTCTGGGAGCAGCTTTGTTTCACTCTGCTGGGTACTCAGACTCCTGGGAGCTTAACCAAAAGCCAGCCATGGTGACCAAAGAGATAATTATTTAATAGCTGTCTTCTCTCATTTGTCATTCTTTTAATAAAACCTATTATCAGGCCTTTTGTCTTCTGATAGTTTGTGTGTAGCTTTTTATATAAGCTCTTTTCACACTGGTAATCTAAACCAAGCTAAACAACACCGTTTGGGGTTCGAGACTTCCTTTAATTGTCCAGGAAAAAAAATTATTGTCTTCCTTCTTAGGGTTATTTTTCAATTTTGTGACTGTATATTTTTTAAATATGTGATACTTAACTGGCTTAACTACTTTTCATTCTAAAATAAGCTTTTCCTTGGGTGATCTCTTCTCACCCCATCCTCTGCTGTATTTGTTGCAGGGCCCAATGTAAAGGCTGTTGCTACCGCTGTGGAACAGATTTACCCATTTGTGTTTGAAAGCAGGAAAGAAATTTTATAATTCACTTCGTTGGTGAGCACCTTTTAGAACCTGCTGCACATTGGACTCAAAAGGAAAACTGGACCAACAGTAATTGAGGAAACAGACTCTTTTATTCATTCATGGCTACAGTGTAAGCTCCAGTCCCTCTGGATTTCATTTCAAACCTTGCTGTAATATAAAAAGGAAGTTTACAAGACATGACATTGCTGCTTTTACAAAAGGACATTCTATTTATTTTCGCAGTAATACTCATGTCCCCATAAGCAGAGCTGTCACGGTGTGCACTACCTTCAGTTGTTTTTGTTGTTGTTATTTTTTCCAGTTTGAGCTAATGTGTTTTCTTTGTGAATAGTCTTTTACATTTTTGTATGCTAAATATGGGCACCAAAGAACCTGTAAAAGTTATCTTTTTCAATTGAATGTGCACAAATAAAAGTTTGGAAAAGATCTCTCTTCATATCCATTCTATAACTTGTAGTCCCCATTTTCTATTTTAACAAAAACTGTATTCATAATTCTTTTTTTTAATCTATGCAAGCTTAGATTTTTGCTAAATTGTGTGGGCTTCTTTTTTGAAGTGTATTTTGTAAATATATATATGCCACATGTGTATAGTATCTTTTAATGCTCTGTTACCAAATATCAAATAGGAATTTTTTTCTCGCAAATTAGAAATAAAAACATGTACATAAGTTTTAGAGAACTGCAGTAGACCTTTATAGATTAAGGATAATGTTTTATGTTACTAATTTAATATGATAGAAATGTCGACTATCTTTTGGAAGTTACAAAATTGTAGTTTTAAAAGAGAAACCTCTTACCTGCAAGATGGATGTGAGAAAGAAGCCGTGATGGGTTGTACCTCATTTGTACCTTTGTTATTCTGGAAAGACTCAACTCCGTAGGAACGTTAATAATCTGAGATTGGTGCTCAAGGCTAAAACTAAGAGTCTCGTCAGAAATTGATGCATTTTGCTGTTTTAACTAGAAGTGCCCACATGCTGCCTCTGTGCCACAGTGTAATTATTTTATAGTTCAACTTGAACTTGAAAGCCATTGTACAAGATATGTCTTTCCCTTTGCTGTGTCTTATTTAATGGAGCTGAAGAGTGACTAGACAGACTCTTGGATTGCCACTCTTAAAGTCATAATAAATATGCATTTGTGAAACTGGCTCTCAGGCTCACCCACGAGCCCTGGAATGGTAAAACAGAACAAAGCTGTGGTGTGCTCTGCCACTTGTGTTTAGGAGTTTAGTGTAGGCAACAGTGACACTTCACCTGGAAGGAAAGCTGAGTGGAGAGTTGGATTAGCTTCTCAGTAGAAACCTAGAAGATGTTTCAGCATGATCAAAACCCGAATTTCCAAAATGCTTTGAAACTTTTGTGGAAAATTACAACATCGTAGCCTCCATATTCTTATACATTTTCCTTCGAAGACCTAGTTTCAACAATGCACTGAACGATACACGTACTATTTTGTGTTTTCTTTCTCTTTTTTGATGCCTTTCCTACCCCGCCTCTCACTCCCTCATAAGCTGGGAACAAAGGCTAATTTTTATATTTTCTTTCTTGTGAAAGACTTAGTTGTGATTTCCTGACTTTTTTTTTTTAACATTTGTGTTTTATTTGCCTTAGGTTAAGTAGAATAGGTAACTTCATAAAATGCAGAGAATAAAACCTTATCGTTCTGGGCAGATAGACTGTTTTTAAAGTTAGAGATTTTTTTCCAGTTAGTTTTCCTGTTTTGCAATGTTCACCACCCTACACCCCCACAAAACAAACAGACAAACAAATGGGAAAATACGTGGCCAAGGTGCAAGTCTAGATGTGATATTTTCAGTATTCAAGTGATTTGAAGACTGAGTAGATGGGTAGCTCGTCACCATGTTTTCTCAGAAGAGGACAGACAATCTGACCAGGTCTGGTTTCGGGGCTGCCGCGGAAGCATCTACTGGCAAAGTGTCACTAAACTTTTAACAAAGCTGGTAAGAAATGAGTGTGTCTCATGTCTTCTGCTGGCTTTTCACAAGTGCTGTAAATTTTTTATAAATAAAAACTGTGAATATATACATACAAATTATAAGCATTCCCCTTTATTTTTGAAAATCAAGACATTCTGGGGCATATTGGGTAAAATTAGCTTGAAGAAAATTGTTTAGTTACAAACTCAAGATGAGGAAAGAAAAATATGAGTAAGATACTGACATTGAAATGGCTAGTAATACACCTAGGTTTATGAACAATTTCCTATTCTTTTACAGTGAATGACAAAGAACTAGCTAAAGTACATACATTGTTTGAATTTCAAGGGAAATGTGTGTAACAAATCTGTGATGCTTGGCAAAGAAAGAATTCATGTTGATTCCCTGTCTTGATTTTTTAAAAATCTGTGTGTAATCCCATTGAAGCTCACATAATAATAAATTTCTTAAATTGATCCTCTTCAGAACACACGTTTCCTTCTCGAACAAAAAACAATTACATCCTCTAATTCGGAAATAAAATGTACCATGATAGAATTAAGATGTCAGATTTCTTTTCTTCGTACATCTCTGGGTAATTATAATTTAGGTTGTACATTTCAGAACCAAACTGCATTCATTCTCCTGAATCTCTGATAAAACACAGTTACTTTTCTTCATTGTTCTAAGTCAGTGGGGGTAGATCCTTATACTCTCTTACGGGCCAATAGGAAAATTTCCAGTTAAATAAAAAGGCCTGTTAGAATTTTCTTTACTTCAAGTTAATGATATTTTTCAAGTTGTTGACACTAAACTTTAGGAGTGTCTTTGAGGGTTGTGAAATTAATAATTCAATAGATTGCTGCATAAGTGGTCTGAGATTGTTGCAAATGTTCTAGCATATCCAAGTTCTATTGGTAAGATTGTTGTCAGGCCTTAAAATTCAACTAGAGAGATAACAGGAAGAGAGAATCCATTGTTTGGGTGGGAGTCCCTGATATGGATATGGTTGACTCTTTCATCCTGGAGTAGAGCAGTGAGGAAATGGTCCTGATAGTTAATTATCATTGTGATCATCTGAAAACTAACATCTAGGATAGCCTGTTTGTCATAACCTGAGGTAGTGATATTCCTGAGGAGTGTAAAGAACTGTGTTATGAACACTTCACAAGGAGGAATTCTGTGAGCATGATTTTATAACTCAAACCTAATGTTGAAAGTTAGATAAATAACCTAACGGCCTTACTTGTTTTCTAATGTTTTTCTAACAGCTACTTAGGAATAAATATATATGGTGCCAGGATTTTAGAATTCCTTCTATTTGTATTTTCTATTAGAAAAAGAAGAAAAATGATTGTTTTCAACTATTGCAGAATTATTGGGCTGTTTTATAAAATAACATGAGATTTACAAATGCAGGATATTTTATATAGTTCATAATTCATCTAAAAAAAGCTGTAGTTTTTATACTCATTGACCAGCGATTGAGAATTACCACTGAAATCCAAGCAAGGGACTTCTAACCTAGATAGAACATGTGTGCAAAGGATAGTTGCAGACACATGTGTCCACTGTGTCCTGGTAATACTTACACTTAGATTCAGTACAAGTAGAGTCATAGTAGGCACTTAAATATAAAGGCATCTGAAAACAAACCTTGGCTTCAGAACATGTGCCTGATTAAAATAAGGCTGTGACTGGCCTTTTATACAAACATATTTAAGGCAAAAAGATGCTCACATTACTAGTTCATAATTTTTCAGAGGTGGCTTTGTGAAAAAGATGGAATGTATTATACCAGACTTACTCTTTTTTAACCTGATACCATACTCAGAACAGGAATCACTTGAAATTCATGCCTCATTTACTCTTTGAGATTCCTCTTGGGGATTGGAGTATAAAGGTTATCTGGCCTTTCAGGGTGTCCCATTAAAACTTCATGACATTGCAGAATGGGAAGTATGTGTTGAAGACACCCTTTACTAAATTCTTATCCTATGTTAACATTTGCAAGCTTTTGAGCCTTTAGGTCTCTGGAGAAAGCTGCCTTGGCTGCCCCCTACCACACAGATTTTTACATTCTATCTGCTCTTGAGGGTTTCGGTTTTGAAGCTGTTTTGGCACTAAATCCTCTTGGTGATGATTCATAAAACAAATGTTGTTTTTCACATAGCTCCTGAAAGAGAAAGAGGCACTAATGAAAATGTCATTCATAATTTGCAGTACTTGGAAAAAATGTGCAGACTATTAATTTTAAAATCACCCTGGGGCTTTAATGTTTTAGTTGTGAAAAAAAATAATAACCTATTGCAAAGCCTGTTTTGGCTGGCTGGCTTGATCATACAATGGATCTGAGTACCACAGACCTTTGCTCGAACTCAAATGAGGGGAAATTCTTCTCAGGGCCTAATCATAGTCTAATTGTCTGTAAGGAAGGAGTCTGAGGGCAATGTTGCATAGAACAAATGTAAGTGTCCCCAGATGCCTTTTCCTTCTATTTCTCTTCTAACTTGCCTATATGTCTACATACTGTGTCTTCTGTGTTTGCTCCTACACTATTTTCTATAGGTTTATTCTTGGTATCAATATAAAAATATGTTTTTAGTTGCACACATTTGTTTTCAAAGAGAAGACTTTAACTTCCCTACTCCTTTCAAATATTTTGCCTGTAAAACAACACCAGGTCAAAAATCTGGTACCTATGGTAGTATGCCTGGTGATGTGTGCAGGTGAATAACTGCTTTCAAGGAGATGATCACATTAGAAGTATCATTTTAATACTAAAGTGCTAATGAGAGTAAACAGGAAGGGATTATTGGTATGTTTGTGAACATAAGCTAGCATCCCTGAAGATAGGACATTTGACCAGAAACTGGAGTAAGAACTGTAAGGTTTGGTGACTCAAGTCATGAGGAGCCTTGGCAGCAAGAGAGTGAGAAAGGCTGAGTGGAGTAAGTTATAGAAGCAATGGAAGGTGAGGATGTTGATGCAATGGAGTGCACTCCAGAACTGAAAAGTAGGGACGCGGACATAAGTTGATGCCTGGAAGGAATTTGAGAAGTCTGAAAAATAATTTAGAATGCCATGGAAGGAGGAAATAGGTACCAATTGATTCTTAACTGTTGTGGGACACAAATGGAAGATAATGTTATAATGTTCTTTGCCACAAGATAGGTGTGGGGATAGATACAAATACTTTAAAAGACAACGTGAAAGATGACAGGTGATCTCTGTTTAGTCCATTTTTTAAAATTCACTATGAGACAGGCTTGAAAAAGTGGGAAGAAGTATCAAGGAGAGTGTTAAGTGAATGATGGAGAGCTAAAGACCACCTCACCAGGAAAAAGTAAGATTCAGGATGGGCCTGAAGACCTGTTTGAGATTTTTGTTCATGTATCTAAAATCAGACTTGTTGGCACAGTTGTGTTTTCTTCAGTCCCTTTTGACTCATCAAATGCAGTGTTAAACTAGAAATCAGTCAGCTAAGGTTAACCTGGACAGGGACAGAGGGGTGGAGAAGATATGGGATGGGGCTAGTTCATGGAGTCTAATTGGGGAGGAAGGGAAAGGAGAACTTGTTGGTGAAACCTCATTGGACTTGCAGCAAAACACATAATGGACAAGACGAGAGAGAAAGAGAGAGAGAGATCCTGCCACAGAGGCAGGCGGAAGCGGGTGGAGCGGGAAGAAAACTGGGGATATTGGTGATGGGAACTATACTCTGGTGAAGAGATGGGAGTTGGAACATTAGATAACTGGAAACCCAATCATGAACAACCTTGTAACTGTGAATCTCACTGTGATTCAATTTAAAAAAAAAAGAAGAAGAAGAAATTTCAGTGGATCCCAGGTTCTGGTGTGAACCAAGACTTACTAAAGTGATGTGCAGATACATGAGAGCAGGAATGCAGAGCTCTCGGGGAGAGGGAAATATATGGGAGTGGAGCAGTGATTTGTAGTGAGAATGCAGGGTCTGACTCTTCTGTTTGCTCCCCATTCCAAGCAAACCAGAAGTGAGCCTAGTTACTGAAGCCTATGCCTTTGCAAACTTCAGTTCCCTCGTCAGTCCTCCTCAGTCAGCTTCTACCTCATACTCCCTGAGAATGTGCCTGACATGCTGTGTTGCCTTCTCTTTGAATGTGGCCTCCCAGCCACACTCTGCCTTGTTTAACTGTCTTTATGGAACACTTCTTTTGGATTCAGTGATACCTTATTCACTTGACTTGCTTCCAGTTGGTTCTTTTGCAATCCCTTCTGATACTCCATTGGTTTGATTCCCTAAAATTGGCAGAATTTAGAGCTTGGTCTTGGACTTTATTCCCTTCTCTCTGGTCTTGGCTAGATGATCTCATCTGGATTATGATCTAAATACCACTTCCACATATTAGTGTTCCAGATAGATATCTCCAGAAATCCAGATTTGAATACTTTGCTATTGCCTAATTTTTTTTTGAGGGAGGAGTGTGTGTGTGTGTGTGTGTGTGTGTGTGTGTGTGTGTGTTGGGGGTGGGGGAACAGAGGTATAATGGGCCATACTCAGTAGTGCTTAGGGGGCTATTCTGGGTTCAGAAGTAACCCCTGGAGAGACTTGGGAATGGGAATATGTGGTGCTGAATTAAACTGGGATCGACCACATGCAGGGAAATCATCTTAACCCCTGCACTAGCTCTCCGGCTCCTGACTAGGCTAATGTCTAAAGGGCATCTCAAAATTGTTAAGTCTAAAGGATATCTCAAAATAATTCAAAAACACTGCTATCTTCCCAGCTCCGGGAGTAGCCCTCCCTAACTTTCCTATCTTACCATCACTTTTCAAGCTAAAAATGTGGCATCATCCTGACTACATCATTGTCTTTTGTGTCTTTTTATTCAATACGAGTTTCAATCATATGCCAAACAAGCACTTCTGGGTGCTTGAACACCAGGGACAGACTATACAAGACTCCCTGCCTTTCAAGAAATTGAAGGATTTAAATGTGAGATGAGTCAGATAAAATATAGAGTATCAAGATCTTCGTTTAAAAAACAAAACAGGAGAGTATGATTTGCAGGGGGGGAGGGGGAGGGAGGGTCACACCCAGCTGTGCTCAGGGCTAACTCCTGGTTTTGGGGTCAAGGATCATTTCTGGTGGGTCTTGTTGGAACAGGTTCATGAGAGAGAAGAGCAGTGACTGCAGTCAATGGTAGCAGAAAAACAGCAAACTCTGGAGGGGGAGGGAACTTTCAAAAGATACCCTCCCCCTTCCTTTAAGAAGGGGCAAAGCCACCCAACAGGTTTCTACACTGAGAAGCAGAGATCTGATGGAGGTAGGGGCTTGTTGGTACTTGTCTTGAAGAAGGAAAAAGCACAGAAGTTCTTGGCCTCACAATGGAATGTGAGGTTAACAGAATGCATTCAGCAGGGCAGCAGTTTGGATTCAATATTAAAATGCAGGTGATGTGGGAGGTCATGAAAATGATTTTCTGACAGTCCATTTTCCCAGCGAGGTCAGAAGCAAGACCATCAGCAAGAGTGAGAGCTAAGGAGTCAGGGAGGCTTCCAGAGAGAAAAGCTGCTATCAAATAGTTGTGGAGAGACTAGTACATCTGGGATTGCCAGCAGCACTGAGGCCACTTGTGGCTAATGGTCAGGATCTAAAATGGAACCAATGGAGCTGGAATGATAGTACAGTGGGTAGGGTGTTTGCCTTGCACACAGTCAATCCGGGTTCAATCCCCGGCATCCCATATGATCCCACAAGCACCGCCAGGAGTAATTCCTGAGTGCAGAGCCAGGAGTAACCCCTGAGCATTGCTGGGTGTGACCCCCTCAGAAAAGCAAAAAAATAAAAATAAAAGTAGCACTGTAGCACTGTACTCTAGTTGTTCATTGATTTGCTCAAGCGGTCACCAGTATCTTCTCACAACAAATTGTGAGACTTGTTACTGTTTTTGGCATATCGAATACATCACGGGGAGCTTGCCAGGCTTTGCCATGCAGGCAGGATACTCTCAGTAGCTTGCCAGGCTCTCCAAGAGGTGTGGAGGAATCGAACCCAGGTCGGCTGCATACAAGGCTAATGCCCTACCCGCTGTGCTATCGCTCCAAGTCCCTTGCTTCTGTGCTTTCTCAGCCATGTTCAGCTACATCACTACGGATGTTCACTTATCACACACATCTTGAAGGTACCTCTGGGTCCCAGTCCAGGGCTTAGGGCACCTGCCTTGCTTTATTTTTTAAGAATAATGATGATGAGTTAAAATAAATAAAAATATAAATCACACTCCCACCCCTTGCTAACAATGCTGTAGTGAGTTCCACTGCACTTGGAATAAAACCCCAAGTCACTCAGTCTGCAAAACTCTGTATATCAGTCTCTACTGACTTTTTTCCCCCTGGATTTGGGGCCACACTTGACAGTGCTCAGGGCTTTCTCCCAGCTCTGTATTCAGGAATAGCTCCTGGCAGGCTTAAGAAACTATCTGAAATACTTGGGATTGAACCTAGTCACCTGCTTGCAAGGCCAGTGCCCTACATGCTCTTCTACCACTCTGGCCCCTCTATTGACTTAACTTGAAGGTTAGAATCATCTTGAAGGTTAGAATTGTCTTGAAGGTTAGAATCATCTTGAAGATTGCAGCATCCTGCAGTTCTTAGAGTGTCTGGACCAAATCCAACATGCTTCTGGTTTGACCTGGTTCAGCCTTTCAACTAGCTGTTCTCTCTGCCTGAATTCTTTCTCCCCTAGTTCTTGTAGGCCTGTCTCTTTATTATTTCCAAATCTTATCCTAATGGTCATCTCTCTGGAACCAACTTCTTGGATCACCCAAAGGACCAAAAGAGTCCCTAATCACTTAGCATCCTATCAGCACATTTTCATTCTTGTGCCAGTCTGCTTGTCGATTAATGTGTTACCTAGAACAACATGGAGTTTATAGCAGATGTTAAATAAAAATGTACTGAATAAATAGATTTGTATGAGTGAATAAAGAGATGGTCACATAAAATTAATCAGAGTGAAAGCGATTTAAGTTCAAAACTAAAATATTTACAAGACATTTTCTTGTTGGGTTTCTGTTTCCACTTAAACTAAAGAAAAGAGTAAAAGTCACAGCTGAAATGCCAACCATCCCATTTTCAGTTTGTAGTTGGCAGAGAAGTTTAAAATAAAATCCTTGCAAATGACATTATTTCTAA